CCAACGCGATCACACGCGATCAACCGGCGTGCAGCGATGGCGACCAGAAATGCATTGATCGCCATCGCTGCACGCCGGCTGATCGCGTTGGTTTGGCCAAACCTTTAGTGGCATCCGTTTCTGTTAAAAAATGTGGATATTTTTTATAGGTGTATAATTTTCAAAGTTTTTCTTTTGTGTATCAGCTACCCAAAAATTAATTTAACTAAGATTTTTGGTTTTCATTTTTATACTTTAACACCTAATATTCATGTTTTTGTTCCAAGAGTAATTTAATTACTAAATTACTCTTGGAACTATTTTTAAATCAACTTTTCATTCTTTTTCATAGAATGCACGTATAGTAGTGTTTCAGTGTTTGGTAAAAGGAATATTGTTCAGACAATCTTAACTTACACAAAGGCTAAAGGTTTCCATTTAACCTTTTTAAATGCATTTTTCTTTCTTTTATATTGCTGAACAATGGTAATTATGATACCTACCTACCTATTTCTAGTCTAAGAATGATAAAAAGCTTCTTTTGATAATTTTATTTTTTACCGTTACTAAATGGTTTTAATTTATCAAAATCCGTTCAGTAGTTTTGTGTGAAAGAGTAACGAACATACATTCATACAAACTTTCGCATTTATTAAAAACATTGACACAATTCGAATTTGAGCGCGCTTCGAGTGTCGAGGGGGTTGACGTTTGAACCACCCGCTTTGAATCCGATGCTTACGGGCATTTATCTCCGCGGAATACATAAAAAATCAATAGAACTGAAACACCCACGTTATATTGGTGACATTAAGAAATATTTTACATTCGACATTGGCTGAAATAAACCTACCAGAGAGGTTTTGTTGTCACTAAACCAAAAATTCCTGTCGTATTTTACAAAAGCACTCGCAATTGCAACGGGTATGTTACATATGCAAATCCGTATAGATGCACCTTAAAAGCCTTGAACTTGTGCTTAGCTGCCTTAGGTATAAGACAACGCACTATATTGGACCAATGAATAATATTACGTGGTATTACTAATTCAACGGCCTCACTGAGGCTTAGTGCTTCGAGTAACCAAGCAAGTTCCTTAGTAAACGGATAGACGTCTCAACAAGAAGGAGTAGGCAGGTACTTATAGTTTTAACCTTAGATTAATAAAACCTAGATGGATAGTCTTCATACAAACGCTTCGTCAAGAGTGAGGCAAAAATCTTATGTCATTAGTGTCAATTTTGTTGGGGAGTGTAGACAGTGAAGGCGATTTTCCCGAAAGTAGGGAAATTTTTAATACGTTTTTAATTTTTTTTTTATGCATAACAAGGCAGGTATTTGACCACAATCGCACCTGATGTTAAGTGGGATGCGGTCTAGATTATTATATGATTATGGATGGATTATTTTATAATTAACAAAAACAAAACGCGTCATGTACTTACTTATTTATTGAATTCAAAGTACCTACCTAATAACAATAAGATAAATCGACTTAAAAGTCTCGATTTCATAAAAAAGGAAGTGTATTTGTACGGCGAACAATTGGGAAATAAATTTTCTTGTTACTGGTATCATTCCCGTATTTAATTTTTGAAAGCCAAATTCAAGCAAAATACGCGTCGAATTGTAGTACTTACTTATGAAATGTAACACTGGTCACTTTCTTTCGTTTTTCTGGTGTATTTTAGACACCCTTTCACAGCACAAACCGTTTTAATTAATTAAAATTCGTCGGACGTGTTTACCAATTTTTCACTTTGACAGTTCATGTGACGTTTACGGGTGAGCCGTGCCGGCTCCCTAAAAACTGCCTCACCTTTCGTGCACTGACTATCTATCTAGGTTTTATTAATCTAAGGTTTTAACATTAGCTAGCGGCGCTTCTAACTTGCCAAATGTTTGTTTCGAAGTGCTGGTAGGGCAAAAATATAATAATGAGATAAGAAAAGGCTAAATAGTCTAAGTAATCTAACAAATAAATATATTCTTGAAGTTTGATTTTGTCTAACTTATTAGTAATCTGTGATGCGTCTAGGCCTTATTTTGGGCAGTTGCAATGTGTTTAATTTGCGATAGACGATTCAAATAAAACACAGGCTGTATAAATAACAGCATTGTCAATGGCAGGGAAAATGAACTCGCTCACACGCTCGGAATCCTCCGAGACGAGCGTGGTGGGCGCGCGCGAGTTGAGCATCAGCCGATCTTCGTTCGATTCGGGAATTGCGGACGACGATGGACACGTGAAGTCAAAAATCGTCTCCGACACCGAAGATGATATTATTATGTCCGATGCTGAGGATTTAACGGATTTCGAATTTGACTTCGGATTTGAAGAGTAAGTTGTACAAGGCTCTGTGTTTTTTTATCTAAAATTGTGTATAATTTTTCCAGTTGTTGGGATCGTCTTCTCTTCTATCTTGAAGGATTATTTATAGATTCATCAATGACAAATCGTTACAATTACAATTTATTTTCCAAAACTAACTAAACTGGTTTCTATTCCTAGGATTATGCATGTCTCTAAATACTGAAATTACTAATTATATCATTTTATTACTTAATTAGCTAAACCAGCAGAAAAATAGTCAAATCTTTCCAATTATTTAGCTAGTTCATGAAGTAGACTGTGTTATAATTCTAACGCCATTAATTTTGAATTAGGTTACCCAATTTTAAATTCTTTATTATATTCGTGTATGTAATCTTAATAAATATTAATCTTAGGCATCTTCACTTTTAATACGGAAGTTCTAATTAATTACTTGATGCCTTGCTGTTATTCTGTTTTGTCATTGAAATACGATTAGTTATTACAAGACATTGTTTACAAAAAATGGAATATTTTTAGAAGTATGTAGTCGTAGTTAGTTTAGAAGAAAAGGAAGGAACTAAAGTATAAACCTACCTTCTTCTTTTGAGTTACGAAGTAAAGAGGACAGAAAAAGTTTAAAACCTGTTAAAATGCACATCACAGACCGTGCAATAACTTGCATAAAATATGGCATTGACATAAAAACTAACGATACAAATCTAAGGAAATTTATATAAACTGACATTGAAAATGTTTAATACATTTTTGATTGTTTAGTCAAAGCCTACCGTGTTGAAAGGCTGCTCGTGCAGCAACGTATTGCAAAGATATTTTCATGATATTTTTGAAGTATTCGGGCGAGTGATCAGTGCGTTTTCGGAAACAGTTTAATAAAACATAATTATTATAATTATACAGGGTGTAAACAGGTGGCAAACACGTAAACAATAATTTCAGATCAATTTTGCTGATTCATATTTTATTAACTGTATTGTTCCTGTATTTTCGAGCATCCATTTATTGTATTTCCTTAGAACTCTATATTTTGATGATTAACCTTCGTTCGGCCAAATGACGTCCAACGCTGGACAAAGGCCTCCCCCAAACCCTCTTAACCTTATTCAAAAATGTTTATTTCATTAGAAAATGAATCATTTTTATACGGAGTAAAAAATTTATTATTTAATACATGACAAAACCCCGTTTGGATATTTTGCTATTTACCAGGAAGTGAAGTTTTAAGTTAAATTATATTTACAAAATTTTAACCAAAATTTTACATTAGGTACATGTCAAATTTTGGTTTATTCCCCGTGATATTTGGTGATTAGGTTTATTCCCCGTGAAAGTGTTTGAAAATCCATCTTCTGTATTCTGTATTTACACCTTGCATTCTGTAGCATAGTGAAGGGATTACAGATTCATGGAAATCTATACTCTGACTTACATTACATGGAGGCTGAAAGGTAAATGCTAGCTAAGTTAATTTATCGGCACAATACCACTGAAATATTAGATTTCACAAACATTACTATGAGGTCTCACATTGTGCGTGGATGCACAGTATTGCACAGGATGACACATGAAACAATCACAGAGCTCTTAAAAAAACTCATAAAACTCATTTGTTTTTTCAAATAGGCTTTTAAAAAGCACTTTTAACACGTCCCAGTACTAACCCTACCACTGCTTCGGGACAATAAATGGGCCAGTGCTGAGAAGAAGCAGCGCAAGAAACTCAGTCACTATTGTCAGCCTCATTTTCAGTCTTTAAAATATACAAATTATAGTCATAAGTATTTAATATTCAATGCTGTGCGTTTGATTTGCTGTTTCACTTATAGCAAGCATCTTTGTGAATACGGTCGTTACACATTTGTAGGCTGAGCCTTATGGTTGCGCTTATTTCGACTTAAGGGTAGTAGGTACTTAACAATTAATAATTATATTAGTTTGATTATTCATTTCGACATCAATTTTTATCGTTTTATCAGAATTTATAGCTTTTTTGGAATATAATCACTGCAGCACTAAAATCTCTTAATATACCTAATGTAAACATCTCATGTATGATTTCAATGTCTGTCTAAGTAAATAAAGATTTTTTAATGTTGATAACCTGAAGGTTACGAGAAAACAAATGATGAATAGACCCTGATTTTTCTTTTCTGCTCTTATTAAAATGTGATGTTTATTAATAATGTAGTACATATGTTATTATTCACCCATTAGTTTATTTGCAGGGCATCAGTTCCAAAGTCTGGCTGAGTTAGGTAGTTTTCATGTTCATTTTAAAAACATGTCACCGAAAATTTTGAGAGTAGTTTGATTTATTAAAGCCCTCTATGAAAGCCAAAACTTTGAAGCTCCGAATATACGTATCTTTTGACGTGCTTTAACAAGTGCAGCAGTTACCCCACGTTGGATGTAATCAGAATCGGCCGCGTTCCCCTTCTGACCCTGACTGGAAGTAATCGTTTATGTACTAGGATATCTGCCAATGTCTATAGTTTAGTTTTGTTACCGCAAAAAAAATATTTTCTAGAAAATAGACCACAAAAACGTTAGGGTAAAAGATTTTTATGGAGGTCTTATCAATGTAATTTCTTTAAAAATAATAATAATTTAAAAAAAGCAAGTAAATTTTATTTTAATCACCAATTCAATAATAATTTTAATACACATTATTTTTTATACATTGCAGTCGCAAAAATGCGCTCGTCTTGCGTACCCAGTTGCCCGTGCGGGTGCACGCTATTATTGGTAAGTGAATATTGCTTCTAATCAATATTGTACAGTATATAAAAAACTTTCACGATAATTTAGTAAAATCAGTAAAAAATAATTACATTTTCGCTGAGTAGTCGACACTCGAGAGCAAGCACACATTGGTAATGGAAGGAAACAGCAGATTTATTTGGATTTCATTTTTGGTCCTATTGTTGTTCTTAATCATGATAATTATTATATTAAAATTTGTACAATCATTCATTACTCAACCTATTTAACAGTACTTAATATGGACCTACCTATAATATTTTTTAATAAGTACCACAAACATTTTACAATATCTACAAGGTACAATTGTTGAGTCAGTAACGGGTCGCGAAATTATACCTGAACTAAATAAACGTAGACTATTGGCCCAATTGAAAAGTTTCGGTTTCAAAACAATAGGAAACACCACCAGTACATTTGTATTGTGTTTCAACTTAAGTACGAGTCCTGCGTCAGTGACTAGTGGCCTCGGCAAAAGTTTTGTTAGCTGGATGCAGTTCTAAGTATCCGGTGCTATAGTTGGTTTAATGGTTATTTTTATAAATATTGAGTTTCTTATTTCAGCTCGTTTTTTATTTCAGCTGTGACATTGAAACTCTTTGTTTTATTTTCCAGAAAAACTGCTCCACAGTCAAGGACGTGAGCTGCGCAGAGCGCTCTTCTCTCTCAAGCAGATCCTGCAATCAGACAAAGATCTGGTCCACGACTTTGTCGCCAATAAAGGCCTGGACTGCCTCATGCAAGTCGGGAACTTGGATGATCAAAATTATATCGACTACATACTTCGCGCGCTTGGTCAGGTAAATATCTTTCTTTACTCCTACATTGTATATTACATTAAAATTTTATTGATCTAATTTTGATGCTTCTTTGTTATTCAAAATGCATTTTATTATACACAAGCTAAGTATCAAACACTATTTAATATTTCAGTTATTACGGGGTCTACCAGCAATTTGATACACTTAAAAGGTGTAAATTAGTTTAGGTGTACAATTAATTATTTAGCATTCAATTATTACGTATAATTTATAAAAAAAAAACAAAATTTTTTTTTCTTATATGAAAGTCTTTGGCTAATGTCTTGATGGTACAATTGTTAACTCATAGTAACGGGTCGCGAAATTAAATTGATGTCCTATAATTTACAGATCCTCCTCTATGTAGACGGCATGCATGGAGTTATGGGTCACAAGCGCTGCATCCAATGGCTATACACATTAATATGCAGCAAATTTCGTCACGTCGTAAAAACTGCTCTCAAACTCCTCGTCGTTTTCGTCGAATACACTGATAAGAACTCCATTCTTCTGATTGAGGCCATCAATGTTGTCGACAGCTCCAATGGCAGGTCCCCTTGGTATAATATCATGAAGATCCTTCAAGACATCGACGCATCAGACACTGAACTCCTCATCTACGCTACCACGCTTATAAACATTTGCCTAAACAACGTACCTGACCGGGACATGTACTATGATCAGCTTGACGCGCTCCAGGATCAAGGGATGGATGAGATCATACAGCTTTACATGACAAAACAAGGGACCGATTTGGATCTTTTGAGGCAGTTACAAATCTTTGAAGCTGTTTTACTTTTGGAGGATGGAGATGACAGTGGAACGGCAATGAAGTATGTAATTATTACTACTATTCTAAATTGTTACCTACTTATATGTTTCTATGTACTTTTTAGTCAATTTAATGTTCTTTATAGGCAATTGGATGAGTCTATAATTAATTCAGTGAGACGTCGGGGCTTGAACTTAAATACATCCGAAAGACGAAGGTCAAAGAAACGGAATATGAAAGACAAAGGTATGTAATTTCCTGTAACTTCCGTACATAAGTATAATGTTTATATTAAATTGGTGTTTTAAATGTTCTACCAACATTGAATTTTATAGATTGTTGTTTGGCATGTTCTTTCTTATTGTGTGCATCTACTATGATTGTGTGTGCCTATGGAATGATGTTTTAAAATCTTTTTGTACCTGTGTATATAGACATTTATAAATGTGCGTTGTTAGCCTCTTAATTTTTAATTTCGAAATTAAAAGAAACTATGAAAGTTATAGAAGTTACTTCAACTGTAACGTTCCATTTTATAATAAATTAATTACCTTAGAGTTTAATCGAATCGGTCTTTGTTTTAGGTATTAAATATTTAAATGTAGGTTTAATGGACGCTTAACTATGTGAATCCTAAAATGTTTCGTAGTTTTCGTATAATTTCATAGTTATTCTGTAATCTGTACGTTTTGAGACATCAAAGTTTGAACTGTTTTATATTTTCACTTAATTTAAAAATAATAACAAAAAAAATTGAATTTCGTCAAGCTTAGCCGATTAATGTCTTGTGGCATTTTACTAACAATCAACAGTGAAAGTCCCAGTCATCGTACATTCAGAACCCAAGCCTAAAATCGCAAATAACAATCGCCCACAATTCTTGCCATCGATCCTTGATAATAACAAAGAGAGTAAAGAACTAAGCACAGCGCTGAGAAGAAGGCGAGACAGATACGCAAGACAGGCGCACCACATCATACAACAGCAGGAGCTTTTGAACAACTCCAACGGAATATACAACGGACTCTTTGGAAACACAAATGGTGCTTATAACTCGACAAATGGAAACATCACGTCATCTAACACTAATTACACAAATGGATCATACATCAATACTCACAGTTACCAAATTATAAACGAAAGCAACGACCATTATTATAATGGAAACTGCATAAAAGCTCACGAAGACGACGCTTACATTAACAGAACAGTAAAGAACCTAAACTTAGCAGACGTATTAATCAATGGTTTGTTAATTAGAAGATCAGTATTCGCGCTAATCACCCATTTTTATCATATCTTTGGCACCTGCTTTCCGTTTGGCTCTCTAAGTGTTATATTCTTTGTTTGATTTCTGCTTCCGTTTTTATATTTTTGTTTTCTGGCTTGTAGATGTTGTTGTAAACTATTTACAGGAAATCAAAGATATACAGCTGGTTTAAAACAAAGAATACAAAATGGGACTTTGGGACACAGTGTAACTGCAGTTGATGCCTTAACAGTTATAAGGCAAAAACAACTAGATGCTACTCCTGAAAAAGATGACCGGGGAATTTTGCTGAACAGAGAACACAGCATCAAAGATTTAGCGCAAAGACTTACAAGCCCCGTTAGCCCTAGCAGTGAGGAAAAGCAACTACGTGTTGCTGAAATGGCAGGAATAGTATCAAAAGCCAAAGAAGAATTAGCTAAGTCACAGTCTAAGGGTAAGAGTTTAAAATAAAATGAGTGAAGGATAACATCAGTAACTAACTATTTAATCAAGTAATAACTAACAAAGGTGGAGAAACATTACTTTTTTATATGATTTTTATACAATTTACTTCAACTCTCAATCCATAAGTAAAACTTACTTAATTGCATAAATTAGGACATAAACAATAATAGACTTTATTATGTATATTTGACCATCATTATGTCACCTGTTTCTGGCAAATAAATAATTTGAATTTGAATTTTGAATTAAAAAAAATCATCAATCAATGAATTTTAAAACTTTTTGCATGTGGCATGTTATGAGTATTTACCTGTGTAGTATAAGTAGCCTTGTTTACCCAATCTAGTGTAGTAGGTATACTTTTCTTGTAATTTACGAAAACTTTTAATTTTACAGAAGTAATAAAAAGCCCAAGTGTAGAAAGGTCCCCTAAAGTCCACGAAATAAAAATATCAGAAAATGAACTTCACTGGGAGGAATTAAGACAGGGGTGTCTCAAGCGTGAATTTCATTTGTGTGACTTAGATTTTTCTGATCTACGTCAAGACTCAGATGATGAAATGTTATCTCAAACTGTAAACGCTTCAAGTGGACCACCACCTCCTCCGCCTGGAATGTTCCTCCCTTCTTGCAATCCTCCTCCTCTGCCAGGCTTTCCTTCAATACAGAGAAATAATGTTCCACCGCCACCTGCATACTCTTCAGAACTGTCGAACGATTCAGATAGTTCAACAATAAAGAAAAACAAGAAGACAGTAAAACTTTTCTGGCGGGAGATTCAGGAGAATCCTGCCCCACCCCCTATTAGATCAAAGATCGGCGGTTTCATCTGGGATGATCTTCCCGAAGTTCCGTTGGATACAAAGGCGCTGGAACACTTATTTGAATCAAGGACGAACGACCTGATAATCAAAGTTCGTATAAACGCTGACCTAAATTTTGTTGATTATTTCTTAATGACACTTTAGTCAATTAATCTATTCTATTTTTCATGTGCTGTTCGTATTGATGCTGATATTTTTCACACACGGCAGGAAGTGAGTATTGAAAAATTATTTGTAAGTTCTAAATATTATAATGATTCTTGGCGGAAACATCTAAAATCCAAACTCTTTTGCAGAAGCTAATGGAGCCCAAAAGAAATTTAATTCTGGACACAAAGCGGTCAAATGCTATTAACATCGCTATGAAGAAACTGCCAACTCCCCAAACTATAAAAGCGGCCATCATGAAAATGGATGCCAACGTCATTGGTCGGGAGGCCATTGAGAAGTTGCTGACCATGCTTCCTACCGAAGAAGAAAAAATAAAGATACAAGAGGCTCAGGTAAATATACCTTTAAAACAATGATAAATACCTAAGTATATTGTGTTCAACTTATAATACTACCTACCAACTAAAATGTCTAGGTACTGAATTTATGTCTATGTATATTACGAATAACTTGCTTTCAGTATGCAAATCCCGACTTGCCCCTCGGTAGCGCGGAGCAGTTCCTGCTCACCTTAGCTTCCATTAATGAGCTGTCTTCAAGATTGAAACTATGGGTTTTCAAATTGGATTTTGATTATTCCGAAGTAAGTGTTCTTTCTTACTACCTTAAACTATTCTAACAAAAACATTACTCGTTTTAACAACCTCAAAAATAAAATTGTGGTGTTTCTTTTAAAATTGCAGAAAGAAATCGCAGAACCACTGATGGATCTAAAACAAGGCATGGAACTGCTGAAAGTGAACAAAACATTTAAAGTGATCCTGGCAACTCTTCGGTCAGTCGGTAGTTTTCTCAATGGGAATCAAGTCAGGGGTTTCCGCCTAGAGTACTTGTCCAAAGTCATGGAAGTCAAAGATACTGTGCACAAACATCCTTTACTTCACCACATTTGTGAAATGATAATAGAAAAATTCCCGGATACAACCGACTTTTTCAGTGAGGTAAATATTTTTTTAAATTTATTTAATGACTAAGGTGACTGAGTTTCTTCCGCCAATTTATTCTCATCACCAGCTCATAAATTGTACCGAAGTGGTGTTAGAGCAAGCTATATTTAATTTTGGGATGTGCAAGTGCCATGGAAAGGGCCTGTACTGACTAAACTATTTGATTTTGATAAAGTAGCATTATAGTAATGTCTTATTTTTGCTAACCTGTCTGAAGCAAGCTGAAGTGGCAACATAAAGGGCAGTTGATGGCCGATGGAACAGCAAGGTTCTAGCATAAAGGCCACGTACCGGCAAGCGTAACGTGCGCCAAGGTGGATGATCTTTTTTAACTCTATACTTGGCAAAGACGGTTTTGGTTAATATTTGTGATTTACACTATAAATATTGGATTTAGGACGAGTAAAAATCATGTAAAAAATACGAAAAAAAATCTTAGGTATGTAGTTTTGGAAATATAGTATGTATCTTTAAGTGCACATTGCCAGCTTTGTAGTAAATTAAAACATGGTTTATTTGTTAGTAAAAAATAGTTATTTAAATGAAAAAAAACCTTAAGCTATTCCTTATTTGAGAAATAAAAAATAAGTATATTTTACAAAAAACTGAAAAAAAAGTAAAAAACCCACTTTAAAGTCTGTAACGCCTTGCAAGTGTAGCTGCATTTGGATGTATGAGAACCACTCCATCAGCGTCGTTGGAGTACCTCCTGAACCTCACACCCCTCTTACCATCCAGTAGAAGCAAATGTAGATAGGACACATAGGAATCCTGCAAGACCATTAAAAAAATACGAGGGATATTGACGCCAACTGGTACCGAACTGTGTTCACGTCTTCGATTGAAGATAATTTGATACCCAACTTACAGTGGAAACGCAAGATAGCGGAAATGGATCTCTAGAACTCTCTGGGAAACTATGCAGCAGTCGAACTGGCTGAAATTCTTCAATCACCAGATTTATAACCAGAAGCATGCAGCAGCCTGAATAGGCAGCTCGCTTTTTGGGGGTGATCTGGGTTGTTTGGAGTAGGAAGATAACCACCCAAGAGAATCAGGAGGCTAAGTGCGACTTCTAATTCATCATCTGAAGTGTCACCGCCACTGACTTTCGACCTGGTTCCAGATTTTGGAACCAGAACCAGCATTTTGCGCGCCTGATTTTGTTGCTGCAGCACAAAGTTGTCCAAAAAACAACATTTTTTATTACTTGAATTAAAACTCACATCGGCTTATANCCAAAAAACAACATTTTTTATTACTTGAATTAAAACTCACATCGGCTTATAATTTACAGCTTTAAATATTACTAACTAATAACATGATCCCTTTTTATGCGATAAAATCTATGAAAAAAATCATAAAATAAATTCAATGAGAACCTGGCAATGTGTCTTTAAAGATACATTCAAAATTGAATGTAAATTATTACGTATCTGATAGTGTGCATTTAGAGATACATTCAGACAATCCGCATCGTACAAGAATAATTATACAAGTTTTGGGATGAAAAAACAGCATTATCATCAAGAAACCTTTATTTACTATCCATATTACTACAGATAATCACCAATATTCTTTAAAAAAAACACCGAAAATAAATAAAATTATTAGCCGGTGCGTAGGCGCCTGTCAACGGTCTGACATTTTGAATATTACTGTTAAATCTGTGCAGCCTGTAGCGATTCTATACTGTGTAATACAATCTGTAGTATTTGGGCTAACGTTATATTAAAAAAACATTTAAAAATAGTTTTTGGTTTCTCCCCCATATTTTTGTTTTGGTCAACGTATCTCTAAATGCACAATGCCAAGAAAAGGGTTAAAGGAAGATGCTGGATGCTGATACTACCAACTGACCTAACCAGTTTTTTTAAATCATGACCTATGAGCAGCAGTGCACGTCCTATGGCTGAAATTATAATCAGTAATCGATTGAATTTCTTTGAATGTAGTCATATTAATAAAGTATTTTACAGGTGGGACCCGTGATTCGCGCCTCTAAAGTGGACTTTGAGATCCTTGCTACAAACCTGAATAAATTAGAGGCCGACTGTAAGGCTTCCTGGGACCACATGAAGAGGATTGCAAAGCACGATGGGTCTCAAATTTTCAAGACCAAAATAAATGAGTTTTTAACTGATGCTGCAGAGAGAATTATTCTATTATCCGTTATAAGAAAGAGGGTTATGAGCAGGTAATTTTGTTTTAGAACTTTTAGTCAAAGCGAATTGAATAACTTTTTGAAGCGAATTTCTGCTATGCGAGTTCTTTTTAAGCTATAGCGAACTTGACATGTTTGCGTAAAAAAAGAGAAAGCAACAGTCCTTTTCTCGTTGTTTCAGGTATAATAAGTTCCTACTTTATGTAGGCGTTCCCACTGCTGATATTGGGAAGACGAAAGCCTCTGAATTTTTGAAGGTCATAGCTGAATTCGCATTAGAATACAGGACTACCAGGGAACGTGTTCTGCAGCAGTTAGAAAAGAGGGCAAACCACAGGGAGAGGAATAAGACTAGGGGCAAGATGATTATCGATGTGAGTTGAAATAATTTTTGAAATACTTAGTTATTTTCATTTATTTTTAAAGTGGACGTTAACTCATTGATATTTGTATGTTCCGCCGCTAGGGCAGTGACAGAGCTGCTGCAAAGCGTCCGGTATTTATAATATTTGTACTGATAGTCGTAAATTTTGCTTTGGTGGCTGATTGTCTAAGGACGCTGAATGAAAATTTCGAAAAGGGACATCACTTACTATGTCTATCGCAATTGCACCAATTGAGAATTTTAAAGTATCACTGGTGACATGTTTTAGCACAAAATGATAGGCTTGTATTATAAGCACTGATTTTATGACTAAATTTTGTATAGTTTATAATTATAATAATTATTCAATACATTCAGGTTGGCAACTATTCAAACAAGATAGACGAGATTTCGGCAGACAGTGCATTAAGGGAACTTCTCAGGACTGACCCGAGCGTTGACAGTTTAACGGAGGGCAGGCGCAGGGCTCAAAACAGGAGGGTGCCAGTAAAGTAAGTTTGGTGAATTCGTTTAAATTACTTACCGTACAATTACAATCTACGTTTCTTTTTCCCGACTGCACCAGAAGGAGGATTACGATTCTATGCCCCACTATAGATTAGGAATCTCAGAACAAACAATCACAAGTGTGACATACCTACTTATATTATGACGTGATGAATTCTAGAACAAATATTTTTTATTTTCCAGTGGTGAACTAATAACGGCTGATGACGAAATCATTGAGAGCTTGGTGAGATCCGCCACATCTAACAGGAAACCGATGACTAGGGAGCGTAGGAGGAACAGGCTGTGCGATCAAAAAGACTATTGTAAGTACCAACTTTTTTGCTAAAACATCATAATTTATATTAATATGTTATGTACCTACAAAATTTTACTGGTTTGATGAATTCTGTGTTGTTAAATCTTAATCAAAGCATTGGCGAATGTTTTATTTTATAAGAGAGCAATCCTGGATACTCGCGGAATATAATATACAATGTAGGTACTAATAATATACTAATGTTCTGTGATTGATTCTTACCTACTTACCTACTATCGGTCGTTATTTTCGTCACCTTCGTGGCGTTTAGTTCACGAAAGCTATTATGCCACGAAAGTTTTTAGACACAAACCTAAAAATATACCATACAGCCTATAGCGGTTACCTATAATTTTGGTTCTTCTACGGATTCGAGACTGCTAGCATAGCCCTCTCCATCACTTTGACCATAGGTGAGCATGGGCCTTTTATGAGGCCACGTCTCAATTTTATAAATCATCACTGGGAACGTAATGGTCATAAACTAGTTTTTGAGACACTGCGTACTTAATTTTGGAAAAAAACCTTCCCTAACTCTTCCCAGCCGAGTTGGATATGACAATTAACCTTCAGCTTAAAGTTGGGTCTACCTAGCTGAACTACATGTGTCAGGATAACAAATTCGAGTGCAAGTTTCCAACCTTCAATGGAGTAGGTGCAACTTGAACATTCGATATAATTTACTAGTCTATGTTCATTTTGAGATCCACTTTCTTCCGCCACTTCTTATTATTCCAAAATAAATGCTATTATTATTATTATAATGTTGTCCCGAAGTGGTGCGCCTTTGAAAGAGCTTAAGTATATTGAATACAATCTTTGACTTTGACTTGTTGAGACTCTTTCTGACTGTGCTTATCGAGTATTGTGTCTAAATCTCCTAAAGTCTCAGCAATATCGTCAGCAAAGACGTGTCTAAAAAGCGCCATCGATCGTAATGACGAATCGTAATAAACTACTGTTTTTGACGTTCGTAAATATTCATGCGGGGGAAGACGTGATAGATGGTATCAACATGATATCAAACAACAGATTTTTCGAACTAAGGCGTAAAACGAGGTCCACGCGTACGAAGTCGCGGGCGGCCGCTAATTGATATAAAGAGAAATTGTGAAACACCTGCTGCTTGATAAGTGAATCATGATAGTAATGAGTAGTTATAAACTTATTATTATTCTGTGTTTACAAGAAAGATTTGTTCAAAAACTCAAATTATGGTGGAAATACTAAGTATACAAGTTCATGACATGCCAATTTTTTGTTGCATATCCTAACATAATCTTCAATTTTAACCCCCCGACGCAAAAAGAGGGGTGTGATATTATACTCGTAAGTTTAATTTAGATCAAGTTTAATTTAGATGTTTTGTAGTAAGTAGGTATTAGGTAGGTATTCTGCGTTGCGATTTTTTGTGATAAACTGCTTAATAATTTCAGCATACCTACCGATTTTTACTTACAGTAGGTGATTTGACTACTGTCATTCTTATTTACAGTGAACAGGACATTGGATGGCCACCAGTGGCCTGGCCCGGAGGCCAGCAATGGGTACGTTTAGTTTTTATCATTAATTTGTATTTATTTATTTATATTATTTTTACTTTTATTCAATGAATGAATTTGTTTGATACGGACCAAACCTTTTTTCTTAGTTTCTAAGCCGTTTTGAAGTTCTTGAGGCAGTTAGTACTACTTACTTGTGATAATTTAGTGAAAATCTAGCATTATTAGTATTTATTATAATAAATAGTATTTTTTATAAGAAATACATGTTTTTTAAACAGTTTTTTATTTATTTTCAGGTCAACAGCCGCTACGCAACATAGATAAACGAGTTAAATTCGAAAATAAGAAGTTATAATCATTAGCAATTTGAATTTTTGAATCTCATGAAAAAACTGCATTATTGTTTCTTTTTAGTGTATTGCTGTCTATGATATTGAAGGAAGTAATTTGTCTTTCAACTTAATTATGTGTCTCATTATAAAAATTGGCGAGATTGTTTCATCGAAAATTCTGTCTAAATATACCTACTTATAATTTTCTAGTCTCTGTTACTGGCAAGATCTGGCTTCTAGACTGATTGTTATTTGTGCTATTGGATAAATTTTATTTAGGCAGTGCCAGTCCGTAGTCTAGTAATCAGTGTGAGGATTGACCGTGGAAATGTTCATGACGATGCTTTCAGTACAGCCCAGTAGAAAACGGTAAAAAAAAATCGAAAATTGTATAGAGCAATGAGAGTACCTAGTCCAAATATGCAACTATGAACGTCTTACATGATTTCACGCCGTCTGAAATTATGTGAAAATATAAAAACCTTAGGCTTTGTGTCATTTTATTAAAAAAACATTTTTTCGGACTTACTTAGTTTTGTGTTTATAGAAAGGCAAATTAAATGTACTACCTACAACTTTAGATAAGCTAACTTTTTCCAATATGTACTATTTTGATTTGGACATCAGCAAATTAAAAATGTACAATTTCTATATCACACTATGTTCTGTCTAGTATTGCTACCATCACCTACTTAGATGCAATTTATAAGTAAATTGTAAAAAAGAAAAAAATTTGGGCTCATACACTTTATTTGAGATTTGACACATTTAATTTATAAAATCTATGTAAGTAACAAGCATCAATGACTTCTACAATTATCCGATCAACGAAGCTTTTGTAATCCGAATAATTGATAGTTTTCATCATGTGCCAAGTTTCATAGGCAGAGGAATTATTCGAAAGTCTCCATACAATGAATCTCCTCGTTGATCGGAATAAATATTTAAGGTATTTTAAGTAAGTATTATTTATTTAATGCATGAATTTAATCTTATGTTAAGGTGATACTGTTTGATTAATAGCTGGTCTTTAGTTAAACTGTGTCAAAAGTGGTAACTAAACGAATTTTAGATATTATTAATGTCACAATCTAAATTACAATTTTGTAACTAACGTGTTTCTGGATCCGATTGTGTATTTATGTAAATAATATGTAAATTTAAGAATTATTATGAATGAAATTAAGAATTATGAATTTATTTTTACCCAATTAATATTTTGACCTACCTACTTAGTCATTATAAAATACTTAAATCGTATTTTATAATTTCGAATTTAGTTGACATTTAAAATGTATCGTTACAGTTATGTGATAATGTGTATAATATTTTGGTTATGTTCACAACTTTTAGATACTTTGAAGCCCTACTTGCTGTAGGTTTATCTGTAAATGTATAAGTCCTTACCAATATTCTGAGGACTTACGGTTCAGTCAAACCAACGCGATCACACGCGATCAGCCGGCGTGCAGCGATGGCGATCAGACTTAAATGCATTGATCGCCATCGCTGCACGCCGGCTGATCGCGTTGATTTGGCTGAACCTTTAGTGCGAGTTTTCATCAATCATAGCGAGCCGTTAAAAAAAGTCTTAATTTTAGTTCTTGAAAGTTTCCGCTAGGGGGCGCTGTACAATCCTTCATACTTAAATTGGCACTTTTTTACGCAGTCGACATCAATAGACAATATGTTGACACCACCAATCAATTGACGTACTTTTTAAAACTGTCAAAACGAAACTCCCATATATTTTGTATGGCACTACAAGCAAGTGACGTCACTATTTTATCAACTCAATTAAACTACTTTTTTAATTACAATGCGAACAAAAATCGTAATTTACAGGTAATTTAAAATTAATTAAGTTTTTAAGACCAGAATGAAGGGTCTTTTTAAAAAAGTTGTGGTTTCGAATTATAGGGGTATGGTGTCAAACTGTCTATTGCGTTTGACGTAAACCTACTTATAGTTCCAAAATACTGGACTGTCCTGTCGATGACATTGACAGTGGGGCGCCACCGTCAATACCGGATCGCTGGTTCAGATTTTTGCCATGTTGGAAACCATATAGTTGAACGATGGTAGCGCCCCCCTGTCATTGAGTTTGGTGGGACAGTTCAGCGTGGGTCATCTATACACTACGCCTACGCTCCCTGAAATGTTTAGATTCATCAAGATTATGCATGTATTAGTGTCAATTTTTATTTCTCTGATAATAATAATAATAAATTATGATAAATTATAAAAATATGAACTTTGAACGGGTAAATGTTTACCGATTTTAAAAATAAATCATTTATCGCATTTATTACCGACAGAATTCATAAGCACATTCTACATATAAATGTTATTATCCATTTGTCAAGTTAGATGCAATATTAATAAAAATAATACACACAATATCATTTTTTTCGTTTTATTATGTATTTGTTCTCCTCAGCAGTGCTTTCCTACCTTTACAATAACTTCATTATTACTGTGCAGCGCTGAATGTTGAATAATATCTAATAATAATAATAAATTGCTATTAACGGGTAACTGACTACCCAAGTTACTAATAAATTCCGGCTTTCACCCGTGTGGTCCCCCCAACATGTCCCCCTGGTGGGTGGGTCCACGGGTATTTTTTTTACCCGTTGTCCCACCGTTTTGAACAGTGTTTGCCAGTGGGTCTACGGGTAATTTATTTTAACCATGGTCCCACCGCACTAAGTGGCAAACATTGCATGTCACCTAGGTATCTATAATATTATAAAAAAATCTATAATTAATTATAGAAAATAATTATAGGTAGGTACGGCACCATAGATTTATAAGACTTAATTCCTAAGTTCATATTTATTTGAAAATAAAGGATACATCGAAATTAATAATTGCAAGAACATTTTTTATAATATCTTAACATCACAAATATTATTATGTGTGATACCTAGGTGACATGCAATGTTTGCCACTTAGTGCGGTGGGACCATGGTTAAAATAAATGGGGACATGTTGGGGGGACCACGGGTAAAAGCCGATAAATTCACACAGGATGGAAAATGGTAAATGATCTCGCTCAAATATTTCTAAACTATAGAAAATAGTGAAAACGTCATTACTGAAAGTGAAACACGAGCTCTATCAAACAGTATCAATAACTCTGGCTTCGAACTTTCGATTAGTAGATATTAAATTTGTTGAAAAAACTTATAACAGATGTAATAAAGATTAAAAAAAAATAAGACTATGGCTAGGATATTTTTAGTCAACCAACTCGCGACATATTCTTTAACATGCTAAAATTGATTTACAATACGTTTCATTGAATAAACAGATGGTGCAAAAGAGGTGTGTGATGGAGACAATGAATGGCAGTCGGGTAAAATAAAACACTTCTGATACTACACTCAACACCATTTATTTAATAATTAAATATGCTTGACAGATTTATATAGAAGGGGGCGTGGTACGTAAGTTTAGTTTCAAAAACGAATACCTACTTTACAGATTAAAACATGATACAAAGTAACATCCACTACTTATATTTACCCTCAGATTAAACTTTTTCAAACTTTTAATAACCAGCTGTTGTTCACGCGTAATTATTATTATTTCCTTCAATAAATATTAGTTATTATTGTATTTATCCGAGGGTATCGTTGTGAACTTTTGATAATGAGTGTTAATAGGTACATACGTTTGTTTTCATATTTCAATTAGTTACTAAACCGAATAGTTTTTTCTAAGCATTTTCCGACATACATTAGTGCCGTTAAGAAACTTAATTTTAAAAACACCTACCACTTAAAATGATGTAGGTAGGTACACAATCACGTCGCTTACAATCGTAGGCGAGTGACGTTAGAAATACGTTAGTTATTCGATAGATTACGAATTTATATCTTTTGGGGCAGTTGCATTGGGTTTGGCATAAAGTGGCTTTTAACCTCGCCCTTTGCAATGTAATGACAATTTGCGACAACATTATAGGATCACGTCTGTCATACAGTAAAAACCTTATAAAATTACCACTGAAGGCAGAAAACAACAAGTTTAGTGACATATTTTTTGATGTTCAGTGCCAATTATTTTGTCCAACAGTAGGCGTTTTTTGGCAGAATTGATGAAATTATTATTGTTTTCAACCGACTTCAAAAAAGGAGGAGGTTCTCAATTTTTTTTTTCTATGTTTGTTACGCGATAACTCCGCCAATTATGAACCGATTTGAACAAATCTTTTTTCGGCGTATAGGTAATACCTCAAGGGTGGTCCCATTTAAATTTAATAATAAAAAAAACAACCCCCAAGGGTGGAAAATTGGGGATGAACTTTTTTATACGCAATATCTCCGCCGATTATAAACCAATTTGAACGATTATTTTTTTGTTGAATAGGTATTATCAAAAGGGTGGTTTCATGCGAATTTGAAGAAAATATTTCACCCCCAAGGGTGGAAAATTGGGGATGAACTTTTTTATACGCAATATCTCCGCCGATTATGAACCAATTTTTTTTGGTCTCAGTGTACTGCCTACCTTCAGTGGTAACATCAAGGTAATAATTAGTTAACTAAAAAGCAAGAAATAAGTAATATTTTGTAAAAATAATTACTAATTACCTACTTATTTATTAGGACGAATTATTAATATTTATGTAGGTATACCATGATTGATACTTTTGGAGTCGGTGCAGGCAAACTTTACATGTTTCATAATCTTGGCACCGACTCCAGAAGTATCAATCATGGTATACCTACATAAATATTAATAATTTGTCCTAATAAATAAGTAGGTAATTAGTAATTATTTTTCTACGTTTTAGTGTAGGTTTTTTGGAGTCGGTTTCTTTTTTTTTTAACAATTAAAGTTGTTTTCGAAAACTATAAGTACTCGTATTTAAAAAGTTTTTACTGCATCCGTGACAGGTATGTGATACCTACTTTAATTTAGATTGACCTATGCTTAGGCCTTTATGTTGTGTATCTCATTAGCATAATGTTTAAACTAACCTAACTAAATAGTCCCACAAGGAACAAATTTATTAATAAAGTAAAAAAATACTTTTGCCAAGATAATGTCGACTTCTTGAAGTTCAGGCTCAAGATTCTTTATAAACTTTTTTTTAATATAATACTTTAAATTACAGTAATTTATTTATATTGCACATTCTTCCAAATGTAAGTGTGCCAACAAAACTTGGCAAAAAATAATATCAGTGCATTTTAGATCTAAAAATAATTAAAATACGTAATACAAGCAAAAAATACTCATTCAACAATCAAATATAAAATGCACCGAATATACATAATAACGTAACATTCTTACACAAATCGTTCGTATAGCAATTAATCAGCAAAGGCAAAGGCATGTACCGCTAAAACATAAATATTCTTATACATTGAAATTTTGTTGTTGGAATGTTCATAGATTTTAGTTTCGCGACCTCGCCCTTGTTTCAAAGGACCTTTTATAATTGTCAGTTTTTCTTTTGTTTTGGTGGTACACAGACTTTAAAACTTTGACCAATGGTTACACGATTGATACGATACAACAATCAAATTTTGTGCAGAGCAGGTCTTGGCCCATTGAGATAATACCACAAATTGATAAATCCCATCAAAGTTTCAACACGCATCCTTTCGAAAATTCGAGATTGAAAATACATTATACAAAATTCATTATCAATATTTAGCCCAAACTATTCGTGTTTCAAATGGGCTTAGACCTTACACAATAGAAGCACCACTCAAAAAGCGTTAAAAGTCTCACATTTTTATTATTCGATTATGAAAATAATAATAGTAATTAATTACTATTACTTAATTACTTTTACATCGATGTGGATATTAAAAATAATCGATTACATATAATCTGCACTGAAGAGTACCACGCTAAAAAACGGTTAGCAGTCGGAAACTTATTCGAGAGAACACATAGTTATTATAATATTTATCTACTGTAGCAATATTAGATAAGAGTAGAATAATTGTCTTAACCTTAACACTGAACATGCGTCAATTACTCATGCCATAGGAATCTTCTGTTATATCTAGGTCAGACTATTCGCTAAAAATAGTGTTACCTGCTTAGTATTTT